TAAAATTAAAATAATAATTATATATAAAACCGGCAAAATACATGCTTGACTTTAAATAAAATATAAATTATTGTATAAAATACTATGTCATGTATATTTACAATACGAATAATATTTTCATGTCATGTATTTGAAATATTATATTTTTATATAAAATAGAAAATGCTAATTACAAAATACAGTCAAGTATTACGTATTGTAAATAGAACAGAACTAATATAGCTCAGCTTATTAATCAATAAAAGAAAATCTCCTTTTATACATTATATTTTTATAGAAATTTTTAAATGATTGTCCGACAAACAGTCTCTTGTTGGGGAATAAATAAACCTGCTAAAGAAAACAATATTTAGCAGGGTCGCTAAATGAAGAAAATGTGTTTATGTTAAATTCTATTTTGAAGCTATAAGTATTTCAAATATTAAATATAGAATATCTGAGCATCAAGTATTTGAAATACGAATCAGTAATTACATTTTTAGGAAGTACTCGTAATTTAAGTTCAAATATCAAGTATGTGTTTTTATTTTAAATACAAGTAATTCAAATACTGTCCAGCTCTGATTATATGCAATAATTGTCAAAAAGTTTATATAGATCTATCGTATGTGTTTAACAGTGAAACAGTGGTAGTTACCCTCTTAGAAGTAAACAGAGAAAAATACGGATTTTCGTATTGTTATATAAGGAAACCTATTCGATATATATTCGGTACGTTCTTGATAAATTTTTTTAATTGTCTTTATTATAACTTCACTTGTTTAACGTTAATTACTTATGTACAACGAGTAAAGAGAAAGTGGAACTTTCATAATATACTGACTTTTAGTACATGTTTGCAATTGGTGACACAAGTAATTTGTAATAATAACAGAAATGGAAAAGTTGATAATAAAAATTAAGGCATTCTATTTCGCAGTCGAAAGTTAAGAACCTTCAATAATTTGAAAACACATTTAAAAAAAACTAGTTCTCATTATATTTGCTGTTTAGGTAGTGATAATATAATTATTTCTTATTACAGTATTAATTACTCCACTGTGAACACAAGTTTAGCATTACCTTTGAATAAATATTTAATCGATTCTGCGTTACGTATCTCTGATGTATGAAGTTATTTTGTATTTTTGAAAAAGAATATTATAAAAAAAATATCATTTGTAAAATGATATAAATAATATATATATATATATATATATATATATAAATTTCATTAAGAAGTCGTATCGTTTCAATTATTAGCAGCAGCCTTTTAAAGTTTTAAATAAATTTTTAATATAGAAATCAATAAAACGTAAAAGTAATAAAAATATTTTCATCCAGTTTATATGTGCCTTTGGATAATATAGTGATTAATTACTTATTTGTATGTATCTATGAATCAATCAAATCATTCGGCGATTTTATCAGTTACATACTACTTGTAATTGGATATTGATTCTATTATAATAAAATAATAAAAAAAAGAAAAAGCGTTTGTCTATTTTTCACTCATATTTTTTAATCAAGTGTAACGTTGACACCCATTAACTTAATTTTAATAGTACTACCTAAGTAACGTAGACATTAAAGAATAGAATCGGATATATAAAAATAAAAATTCATGGATACCTTCTTATTCGCTTAAATATGTGTACTTAATTTAAAAATAAAACGTAGTCCGTTTTCTAGTAAAACATACATAAGTTATACAGAATATATTATTTTAAGGAAACGAATTTACAAAACGACAGAGACAAGATGGCAACATTGCTAGAAACAACAAAATATTTGCGTCATAATTAATGCAAAAGAGAAGTCGTGTGTAAGCAGAATACTACACCTACTATTTCCGTCTTTCAACTATATTAATTTCGCTGTTAACTACCAATACTCAAGGTTATATTAAAACATATCTATTTTGAAATAGTTTGTATCATTTTAAATTAGGTGTTACCAAAAATGAACATCTCGGTGTATGAATGAGATTGTTTCCAACCGGTTGCAGAGAAAGTTTTAGAATGAGTACCGCGAGACGCGCTGTGTAGCTGTTGTTATTGGCGCAAATTATTATATTATTATGACTGCAGACACTTTAATAATAAATGACGATTACATTCATATTATGCAATAATGTTTGAATCTTAGAAGCATCGTAAACATGAGCATTTGTTATCGATACAAGACTATCATTATAGGATCGCATTGTGGCTACACAAGTGTGCGTGTAAGTGATATACAATAATAATATGTAACAAAAATGACCTATTTTATATTAAGTGTATAGAATCAATCAACATTACAGTTAGTACTGATTGATTTTGTAATAACTGTGAAAACAAAACCAGCTGTCCGGTGACTGGTAACCAAGACAAGAAAATGGAACGATAAAAAATAATTGCATTTATGATAGGTTATATTTATGCAGTTCATAAACAAAGGATTTGAATAAGTAATTTAAATATAGAACTTTAGGATTGCCAACACATAAAAGAAAATATATTTGACAAGTCTTAACAACTACTGCCATATTGTAGAAATTCTGAAGTTGGACGATGGTTACCAGTTTCTATCAGGTGAGCTATCAGTTTGTTTGTCACATTAAGTTAAAAAAAATAGTATGTAATTAAGGTTTCCACGTATAATTCCATAATACTTATAATAATATTTGAGTCTATATTAATTTACCTATATCATCTAAAATGTTTCACAAACAAATATATGTGCAGTATAAGAGACTTTATATTTATTTGTAATCTCCGAATGAAAATTAAGAGATTGTTATTATTTATGTAAATTTTTATATTACAACAGCTATAGTTGGCACGCTACCAGACATTTTAATTTATTGTACTAAAAGATTGAGTATCATATTATCCAAACGACCTAATTTTCATTTAGTTTACTTTGGCGTCATCGTGCGACGCAGTCTCCACAAGCCGTCGAAATGATACTATTAAATGGTCTTATATATTTGTTTATCATGGAAATAGATGATTAAACAAATATGTTTATTATGCAACATTATGGTAAAAACTTTTCATTTTTTATGTTAATTTTGCTGGCTAACGATAATAGAGTCGCGCATGATAACTGCTTTATTTTATGCATAACCGATTATTCATGCTGCACGAACAGACAGATTGTTTTATTTTTGTTCTATAAATAAATAACAATTACTTCCCTTGGAATTAAAATAATGTAAGGGGAATAACACGGGAATAAACTCTATTAACCCTTAGACCGGGCATCCCGTGATTTCTGCGTGCAGTATCTACAAGTTTAATTTTACGCATCCCGCGATTTCAACGTACTCGCATTTTTTATATTTATTGACGTTGTTATCCCGCGATTTTTATTTTGGTAGATTGATATTTAGTATTGATTGTTTCTCAGAATCTCGCTAGATAGCTAAATACTCGTACTGCTATTTGTAGTCAAAGCGATGTGTGAAAATGAAGCGAAAAAAAAAATACGTGGTCAGAGGGTTAATAGAAAAAGGAATTATCGAGGAGCCAATTTAGAAAACGAAGGAAAACCGCTTAACTGCAGTTGCCAACCCGCCTGCTAAACGGGGCAACTACTAGCAATACTCCCCTTATGGGAAAGGCTTATGTCAAGCAGTGGACAATTAACGGCGGAAATTGTCCACTGCTTATGTATTTATATATAACTTATATACAAATACTTGCTGCTGTGTGTAGCTTTACGCAATTAATATTATATTTCCCCTTTAAGTTAACATTTTTAATAATTCTTTCGTTGATACTTACGGCATACAATAAATCTACATTATAAATTTCAGCTTTCTAGATTTTTTAATTTTGGCTGTGTGTTGATAGTCAGGATAAACGAATTTATATGTATAAAAATACTATATTAATATGCAATTAATAGATTTTTGAACATCTGTGCGCAGTCAGTTTTATTCTGCCACATTCTACGTCTGTCGCTGGATCACATTACTCTCTATCCATTGGTAATGCAAAATAATTTTGTAGGATTATCTAACATATGTTAATTTTATGACTCCTGTATAATCCAAAAGAGAAATAGATGTAATGTATATTAATTAAAATAAATAAATATAATTAAAAGAAAAATACACAGCAATATCTAGTCAATCACAAGCTAAGCAGAGCTCGTACTATGGGTACTAGACAACTGATACACATACTTCTATACTTTTCTTTTGTAAATTCATATAATACAATATAAATATTTTTATTATGTGAGGATTGAATCCGTGACCATCGGAAGGTAAATTTATGTATTAAGTTGCTAGATCACTAAGTTCGTCAAAATAAAAATAAAAAATCTCAAAATCATAATTTCTTACAAGGAAAATGATAAAACTCAATTGCAGCAATATAAAATTAACAGGGCGTAGTTGACATGATTATTACTTCTGAGAGAAAGGGAAAGCTGTCGATCAAATACGCGCCAAGCGGTTACGACACTCGGAGATGCGTATGCGCACCTTGAATTGTAAGATTATGCAATAGCTTATTTTCCTCTTAGATGATTCACTGCATTGTTAAAGTAATGATATTGTTGGGGAAGCCAATTACGCACTCTGTACACATTCTCAACAAAAATAACTGCATATAAACAGGTAACATTAATTTTGGCTGATTGCGAAACTACGATTTTGTGTCTTTTTTTTATTTCCCATATTTCATTATTGCCTCCATTGACTTTTTACACAGAAACAAGTTTTTGTTTTCTTGCAAGTTCTTGTTTCCTTTAGTTTTTTCAAATTGTACGTATTTACATTGTTTATATTAAATATAAGGTAAACAATGTCTTGAAAACTATTGGCTAGATTTTGAATTAGGTACATTTAAAAAAAATATTCAAAATTCAGTAACTCATGACTAGTATTTTAGAGGGCTCTTATTTTCAATTCGTTCTGACTTTATATACGCACGGATTGTTTTAATCAGTTAATGTTTACATTCTCAATCATAAATAATATATTAATTTGCCGTACATATGAGTAAAATAAAAATGCAACTAACCTTAAAAAATATTCCTAAATAGTACCGTTTCTCCCCTGTTTTGAGCAGAGGCATCGTCCACCGCGTCACACCCAGCTCGTCATCGTTGCAACTCGTACATTCTGTAATTTATATAAATTAGTTTAAAATTTGAATAAAATAATACAAGTAGAGTTCATCCCTAGCCCCGTTGAAAATAATGAACATATCAAATGTAGGTTCACAACAAAATTGTACAGTCGTAAAATAACTCCAATATGGGTACTTAGATAATTACAGTTGTGAGCATACCTAGAAGTATTAATAAATTAATTGAATGAATAATGATAATTGTAAAAAATAAATATGCTAAATCTCAAATAGAATTGTTAGAGTTAGCATAGCATTCAACTTATACCTACGTATATTCCAAACCGAAGAAATAAAGCATTCATTTTATCATTCGGAAAAATTAGATTTGTTATTGGTATTCCAGTAGTTGAAAGTTAGACATTTTTATATTAAAACATGTACTCATTAATTTGAAATGCACATGTATTTAATATTATTATTGTTCAATATCTTTAATAATTGATTATTCTTTTATGCCACAATCGTGTAATGCTATATTATTATGAATTATAATGTACATCTAAAATGATTATGTTGATTCTTTATAAGGATTAAATTAAATACCGCTTGCTCACTTTAATACTTTAATGGAGGCTTTATGATCAGGAACATTAATTTTAATATTATTATAGGGATATTTTCTTGTAGTATTGATAAACATCTCATGTGTACGAGTAGATATTGTTGTAAATATATTAAATGAAATGTACGTAGGTTATTTTTAAATTACATTACTTTTATTTTGGATTTATAATTTAAGATTGAGATAGGTAATGACTAACTAAATTAAATTAATAATGAATTAACTAGGTAACTCAATTTAAATTTAATTATTTTAAAATAAAATTTAATTATTTTAAAAGCAATAAAAAAATAGTTAAATATAATAATAAGAAAACTCGCACTTGCAAATGTTTTTTATCTACCTATGTTGATTTTGGTACCGATTATCGATCATATACCCAAGTGCGCTACGCTACGTGATTAAGATATTTTTTTATAAATGTATAGTAATAAAAATTCTACCAAGATCAAATTTAAAATATTTATGTACTTATAGTAAAATGTCGTCTTAGTTTATGTACAGTGAAAATGCGGGAGAATCTAACATTGTATTGACAACAATACAAATGTTTATGCACGTTTAGCAAAAGCTTTCTCTATAGCGGTTAACAATAGGAAGGAACGTTGCTTTTGCAACACATTATTTTGCATTTCCTTATTTATTGTAGGTATGCAAAAATGTTAGAACATTAACATTACTATTGAATTTTATATTTACTTTGTAAGTTGAATAATGTTACCAGTAAGTCTTTTTAGTAAAAATATATTTGTTTCCTCTGATTCTGTTTTTGCTTTGAATGTGTGGCTAAAGTATCAAACATTAATTAATAAATAAATCTATATATATATATATATATATATATATATATATATATATATATATATATATGTATATGGTATATATATATTATATCGTATATATATATATATATATATATATATATATATATATATATATATATATATATATATTATTGTGTATATATAGATGAATATAAAATTACATTTTTGATAATACATTTTTATAAAGTAGAAGAGCGAGTGAGTTAGTTTTGCTTTGCACAAAGAGGCATGCCTCTATTATCAAGGCATTGAATTTCACTATGTTGGTCTTGACAAATATTTCCTTAGTCGGTCCATCGTTCTCTTTCTAGGAGTCTGGGCACATAAATCTATGGGTCGAAATCTTTCTATGGCTGCCATCATATTCAGATCTGAGTTTCACTGACATATCTAATCACTAACATGTAACAAGAAAAGGACTGTAAAAGAAATAAATGTATAATTTTCTCAACAATTCATGGTCAAGTTTAGAAAAACAAACGTAAACGACCACTCAAGATATTGATCGATATTTCGGAAAATAGACCGCGAACTTATGATTCCAAATATAATTAAACACATAAAGACTTCATTACCTACTTAATTAATGACTATAGATATGTATCCTACCGTCGTTAATTCAAATTCAACCGTAACAAGTCTTATGGTTCCAATGTTACATAAACAACATAATATATACAAATAACATGAGTTATTTTAGCGAAAGTGGATCATTGTACGTGGTCTGACGATGCATGAGAAGAAATATGGCCCTCTTTTGGATGATACATACAAACAACAGTTATTAAAGATATATTTGTGAACTAATTTGATATGCTATTATATAATGTTATCCAATTAAAATAACTGTTATTTTACGCATGCGAGGACAAAGTATGCAAGAACAAACTTATTGGTGCATTAAACATCTTTATAAGTATCATTGTTAATTACTGAAGAATACGTTTAATTAGAAAGTGAGTTTGGTATAAGGAAACAATATTAAATTATTGTTACAAATGTACAGGTAAGACGTTGCTTCATAGTGCTATTATTTTGTCTGTATTGTTCTGGACACGCATTGGTTTGCCATGTTATCTTATGTAATGAAATGATGAATGATGTTCAACTTTATAAGTATGTCATATAAATTTACTTCATTCGTTCCGCTATAAAAATACCGAGATGATATAATAAAGTACTAGTTTAAATAAATGTCTTTGATTTTATTTGTCTTGTTTATATTTTTCTTTTACAGATCTTGGAATAATAAACAAGGTGACAGTCCAGCAGATGGAAAGTTAAGGAAATAATAGACTGAAAGTGGGAGATAACCGTCGTCTGTAAATATAAAATGGAAGTCACGTCAAATGGAATTCCCATGGCATGCTTTATGCGTTATTATTCTTGAGAATTTATGTATTATACTTTTGTATTTTTTTATAACACAAGTATCAAACGAGCATGATAGTAAATGACTACTGATGCTCATGATCACCCACAACACCAAAGGAATTGCAGGTGTGCTGCCGGTCTTTTAAAAAGGAATATGTTCTTTTCTTAAGATTATGATGTCGTATCGGTTCGGAAATACTGCTGCTGGAAGATGATTCTAAAGAGTCGTTGGGCGTGGATGAAAGTGCTTTGAAAAACGCACGGTGGAAGACCGCAACTCATCCAGATGATTGGGATGGAACTTTAATTTGTGGCGGGTTGTACGGTGGTGAAAATCAGAGCACACAGTACTCTTCATGATAAATTCAGTAGAAGATCTGTTCCTATAATTGCTAAATCCCATGCTATAAACCGAAACACAATCAATATTTTATGTCTTCATATGATTATCATATGTTTATACTGTGCCGCCCATTCCATGTCTAGTGTTATGCCTCTTGTAACGAAATTTCTCTACCTGTCCTATTGAAACATCAACAATGTAAGTACATTGTTTCGCGACAGAAACTCATGTGTAGGTTTATATGGCAGACATAGGTACTATGATATAGTTATAATTATACAATTTGTACATTACCAGAGGGAGACTTTGTACAAAAATCGTTTGCTTGGGTATCTATTCCCCATTTGTTTTTCTGCCATGAATTAGTTGTGTTTGCATGGCTATGTTTCGGTTTTAAATGTAGGATATAGCAATGAAATTACAGGGTACAGAGGCAAAGCTTATCTCAGGAATAGCAACGCATGGAAGGAATTATAGGCTACACAGAATAAACTGTTATAACTATGGTATTGTTTATGTCTATAGGGGATGACATTACATCAGGTGGATTTGTTTGCTATTCTAAGTTACATAAAAAAAATACATTAAAATAATTTTTGGTATACCCATAACGTTAAAAATGTTAAAATGTTTTATTAAATGCCAATTGATTTTTTTTAAGTTATCGGCTATATAAGTTATTGGCAACTATGCTAGTCTAATTAAGTATAGGTAGGTACTATATTTTTTAAGTGATATAATATTTAATATTAATTTAAAAAATTAGCAAGTCATTGCTGTTAATGATTAGATGTATTTTAACAATAATGATGCAAGCTTAGTGCCATATCAACGGCCATTTTGAATTTGTATGACATTTCCTCAAAATCTAAGCATTATTGGGAAATAGAGAGTACCCATATATAAAGGTTAGTGCATTTTTAAACGCTGTTACGAAACAAATTAGCCAATAAGTAGGTACTTTGGGTAACACTAGGTATAATACACCTAACATGTATTTAAGAGTGAAGTAGGTCATCATGCAATGATATTGAATAGAAAACAAAAAAGTCAAGCATTCTATTCTGAAGACATAGAGAAATAGCTTAATAGATATCTGTAGTGCTTAAAGCTATGTAATTATCAAACAAGTCAATACAATTACAGCGTGTGGGTTGCGTTTGTTTTTTATCTTTTTCCCCGATTGCTTAAGGAAAGGAGGGTAATGATTTTCTAATGTTAGAATGTATATTAGTTCGTATATTTAGCGCAATGTGAAGCTCAAATAACAGATTTTAATAAATTGGATGTCGTAAGATTCGTTTTAATTACTAGAATACTACTGAGATGTAATTTAATTGGGTCCGCCAAATATAAAAATTTGCGAAAGTTAACTGTCTAATCTTTACAACATGTTTTCTAACTGCATTGGGTTGACTGGAAGAGATCTCTGTCAGAGATAAGTCCACCCTTGCTCACAACATTTATAAATGCATTAACAATGTAATTTACAAGTGCAATAAAGAATATATATAAGAATATATATATCTTTTGTAACATTGTCACAGCCTGATAGAGAAAAAGAGGTAAGTATTGGCGAGGCTTTACAGAATTTCGGTAAATGGCAAATCGTTGTTATTAAATAGATATGTCAGCACTAACTTTTCGATGCCAGGAAAATTTCCATTAATTTAACAAATAAATAATAACAAAATTGAATATAAATTCAAGTGATTTATTGAAAAAACGCAATACTAAAATCATTACTACAACCAACAAAGAAACTACGAAATTGATTTAATTAATAAACCGGTTATCTTTTGTGACTGTAACCGCCACTTTATATTATATTGTCTGTGAGTAAACAGTGCTCCTACGCTAATAGGAGAGAAAGGGATTGTTAGTAAT